TAAGTGATTTTATTTGCTTGTTCTGCAGTTTGTGTCATTGTGAAGGGGATTTCAGTTTGGTGAACGTATGCGTGCTTCTTACCATCTTGTACTCGTCTTCATTGACCTGCAGAGCCAGTAGGAAGTCCTCATGCTGAAGAGAGAGAGAGAGAGAGAGAGAGAGAGAGAGAGAGAGAGAGAGAGAGAGAGTTTGGTTAACTGGGATATCACATGACCATTATTTAATTCAGAAATCCTCCACATAGAGCCAGCTGAGTGTGTACCTCGGCCCACTCCTTGGCCTTCTGCTTGTAGAAGGACAGCTCATTCTGCACAGAAGCTTCCAGACTGTTGTACGTCCTGCAGTAGCGTCGGTCGCTCTCCAGGAAATACATCCTCTTCTCAAACTTCACAGAGCCTGCTGGAGAGAAGGAGGCCAGTGAGTGATGGGACAGCTGAGGAGCCATGGCAACATCCATCACCGACGGCTGACAGGCATCCACCCCCGAGCTCCATCATGCAGGTTTGACCCCACCCCCATCCATCCATAAATCAGCTCCCTTAACAGCAAACTAAAAACAGCTTTTCAAGAACACAGAGGCCGTTTCTCAATGTCGAGGAAGGCTGCTCCAGAGCCACTATTTCAAGCATACTCCGTCATCGAGTGCCACCGAAGGACTGTTCCAATGTCCAGCATACTTGGAATTCTACCGAGGCCGGCGTACTTCGTAGCGAGAACTTTCTAGGCTGCACATGTGTAGACTCCGCGGTCTTAAAATCCCCACAATGCTTTGCGCACGGACCAATTTCCAAATCTTTGGCGGAAATAGCGCTCCATTTAAGGCGGGGCCTCGCATATGACGCACGCCTGTTTCACAATTCTTTGTTTTCCGAGGCTAGGAAGGATTCTTGCCTCGCTTCTGAAGCAAGTGACTCGGAAGACATGTGCTACCAAGCAAGCCTCCTCGACATTGAGAAACGGCCAGAGACTATAAAATGTCGTCCCATGATGCACCTGCAGGTTGACACTGAAGCCTTTGCGAATGAAAAGAAGCATTTAACCCTTAGATGCATAAGTGGGTCTTTTTTGACCCGGTGAGGTGGTTTTCTTGAAGTATCTTTGTCATTTTTTTTATCATTTCATATTCCAGCTATTCCTCAAAAAACATGTTTTGGATATCATGCCATTCCCATTTTAAGAAATTGTAGTTTTTGTATTACTACCCCAAGCTTCCATAAGTGGGTCAAAAATGACCCGCATGCATTTTCTATGGAATCCTTTGGGATCCTATGGGAACCTTTGATTCTTATCACCTGTGGCTGTCAGGAATACATTCACTGTGGACCACACAGACTACATCACAAGTGACACCTCTCAGGAAGATTATTTTACACAGCAAGATCTGATACCTGTCAGTATAATAATAATAATAATAATAATAAATAATATTTTTATAGGGCTTTTCAAGGACTCAAAATCGCTTTACAATATAAGGGAAGGTTAGGGTGGGGGGTATAGGACTATCAAACTTGATCAACCGGCATGGATTGATGGGGGGTGGGCTATGAGTAGACAAGAGGAGAAGAGATGAGTTTTGAAAAGGGACTTGAATACTGTGAGGGTCTCAGAATAGCGGAGATCTTTGCATCAATATGTTCAAAACGTTTTTTTTCAAAATGTAAAGAAAATGTCTAAAATTATAAATAGTGAAAAATGTAATATAAAATATTTCTAGTGTGAACCAAAATATAATACTAAAGATTATACAAGTGATTTTTCTTAACCAAAATGGCATAAAAACACATATTATTCTAATACGGGTCCTTTTTGACCCACTTATGGAAGAGTGTAGGGTCCAGTCACTCGGGCATCTAAGGGTTAAACAAACAGCTGCTTGTTTTAAAAGGAACCGCACAATAGGGTTAGCAGTTATTAGAAGTGTTGATAAGTTTGTTCACCGTGCTCAAAATGAAAGTCTACGTAGCAGCGCTCGGAGGAGGCGGCTCTGCTTCTTCGTCTCTTTCCTGAGGGGTCGCCTGATTCCTGCCACTTCTTCAGCGCTTCACATAAGGCCTACAATGAACAGAGTACATGTATGAACAACCCAAGTGAATAAAAAGAAAGCGATGGCATTGCTCAGACGAACCAAGAGGCCACAGGTACCTTGCGTGTGATTGCATAGTGTCCCTTCAGAGCGTTGAGGGACCATTTGATGTCCTGACAGCTGAGCATCCTGAAGTCTGCCATCAGCAGGTCGGCCGCCTGCACGGACGCCTCCAGCCCCACCGTGCCCAGTTTGTTAAAGTCAAACAGGTCTTCGGTCACCTGGAAGGACCCGAAACAAAACAGTACTCAAACACCAAGATATCTGATTCAAATGCAACTAAAGAAATCATTAAATCTAATTGAAATAGAGTGGTGCAGGGTTTACCCGGAAGTAAGCTGCTCATGGGTTCCCTCGACAAAAAAGCAATGGGATTTCTCCATAGGATTTTGGAAAATAGCTCGAAATAAGTTCTGTGGAAAACGAACCCGTTTGATAAATGCACGTTTTGTTCAGCCGGATAATATCCACATGTCTCCTACTTTTATCATTTTCGAATCATAAATCTAATCACCAGAAGCAAAATGCTAACGTTATGCTATAAAGGAACTACAGCCGAGTACAGCAGCACGACTTCAACGTCACGCCAACTTAAGATCCATATTCAAACATACAGATTCTAAAGTGTACAAGTTGAAGCGTTTGTTTGAACAGTTTGCAGGAGGCAGGTACTTGCTTTCAAGCAGAACAGGGCAAACAAACTTAGGAGTGTTTACGTGTTCGGCGTAATGACGTACAACGGCCTGGACAACTTCTGTAGTCCTATTCAGACACGTCAACTCTTCAGAAATCACCAGTGGGGTCACTGCTGATGGATTTAATGTCGTAGAACAAAACGTGATCCGTCTCTTCAATGTGTCTCAACCACAGACCTTATTTCCAGCTATTTTCCAAAATCCTATGGAGAAATCCCGTTGACTCTGAGACGAGGGAACCGGTCAAATGCTGACTCACTTCCGGGTTTTAGGACTCGTCACTGCACCACTCTATTGGCACTGTGCAACGATAGCGATTTGACACGGCCTTTTGCAGCTGAATCATCAGGTGTCAAGGCAAGAGACTGAACGTCTGTTTGTACTTCATCTGCTGTTTCTGTGTGAAGAGTACATTTTTGCATATAGCACTATACGATAATACTTGAATGGTCAGATCAAGTCTGAAGTTTGACTTGCATCACAGCAGCTCCATGTGTAACATCAACATGGACATATATCAAGACACAATACATGAAAAGCAAACATGTAACATAATAGCACGATCCGTGAGAGAAAACATGCTCAAAGAGCCTTCAGCGTGCATTTGATCTGGATTCAGCTCTGTATTTACTGAGAGGGTTGACTGGAGCACAAAGAATGCTTCACTCTCACTTTATACACATTTGCTTAGAAAGAAAAAACAATACATCATTTATAATAAAGGCCTTTTAGAGGTTTCATTCTCTTGTGATTTTAACAGACACACACACACACACACCTCTGTCTGGGTGTCTCCAGACTCCAGCAGGATGCTGGTGGGGGCTAGGGTCGCTGCACCCCCGCCCCTCGGATACTCCGGGTTCTCCAACAGCAGGTTACAGATACTGAGGACACAGCAATAAGAGAGAAAGGAATCACTTACTCATCATAAAACTAAGCTAGAAGACAAAGGAGCAAAATCATTCAACAGGTCTTTTTGGAATTTCCTGAAAATCTAAATCAGTTTATTACTCTTCATGAAGTACTGTAGAAAAAAGTTGATGCTTCTTACACATTCAAGTCTTTCACATTATTCGTTTGGATCAGTTCTGCTACATAGGCTTCTAGGACGTCTGGGAAAAGATCCAACTGTAGAGGCAGACAGAGTTAAACAAGACGGAGGTGAGGATCAGTTATACCACAATGTAAATCATTCAGATTCAGAAAATATCAACTATTCATCTCATGATGTAGATATCATGCAGAACATGCAAATACGTGAACTCTTAGTGATACCAGGGTTGGATCTGAAAGCCATTTCAGAATAAGTCTTAAGATAAAAATACTTTTTTGTTGAAGGTCTCACATTTAATTATTTTGTATCCTTCATAATTGACTTTGAGTTGAGAAAGTTATTACATTAGTCATTTTATTTTTATTTAACTTTTTTTTTAAATTGTGTCAGCTGTTACTTATTTAGCCTTAGACTCTTAGTCCTGTGTCAAATTGATCTTTTTCCGCCATCAGATGATATCAAAACAAACATATTGAGTCTGAATGCACACTGTGTGGTACTCACCACCCTAGTGATGAGGTCTCTGACGTGGGGCAGCAGCTCGGCCCTCCCTCCTGCTGCGGAGGGGCCGGGCCTGGCGTCCTCGATCCGGGGGGCGTCCTCCGCTGCGGGGGGCACGGCCACCAGTCCCAGGGCGGGGTTAACTCTTTCTGGGTTTGGAGCCGGAACGAGACGAGCGTTTCCCCCGGCAACCAAAGCTGCGAGAGCTGGAGGAGCGGGAGCGTTCAAGACCAAGTTAGGGGCCCGGATGTGGAGGCTGATGGGGCCCCGCTGGTGGGACCAGGCTGCTGGGAGCCCTCCGGAGGGGCCGGCCTGCGGGGGGGCGTTGGGAAGGTGCTCCCCGGGCGCTTGGCTCCCTAAGATGATCCGGTGACCCGCCTCAGGAGGGCCCAGTCTCTCTGGGGCTGCAGCTATTAGCACTGCAGGGGGGGCGGCCGGGAACACCTGAGGGGGGGGGAGGGGGGTGGGCTGCAGGCTGGGCGGGGGCCTGAGCCAGGGGCCGCAGCTCCATCTGAACGAGGTTCCCCTGCAGGCGGTTGAGCGACACCGGCTGCAGCACGTTCTGAGGCCGGAGCTGCAGCTGTGGAGCCGAGGCCTGGGTGCTCGGATGCTGCGGAAGAACCACTATTTTGACCCCCGACACGATGAAGCGCTGCTGTACGGTGATGGTGGAGGTGTTGGTGGTGGTGGTGGTGGTGGTGGTGGGGGGGGGGCTGTGAAGATGTACCGGGCTCAGACAGCGTGTGAGCAGAGGAAGTGCTGGCCTGAGGGTTGTCATGTGACTGAGCGCTCGCCTTTTCTTTAGTCTTAGTAGAAGAACTTGATGCAGAACGATAGCGTGTGGCACTGGAGGAGGAACTCGCCCCCCCCCCTGACTGAAGAGTGTGTGAGTCCAAATGTGCTGGGCTGAGGCAGATTTATTCCTGGTGTAATGGATGTGTTGGCATTTGCAGAGGTAGATGGGGTTTGGATGGGAACTGCGTGGGGTTCCTCTTTTGTGTATGCTGGCGTACCGTCCTGGTGCTGCGAGTTCCTGTAGGGTTTTGGCTGAGAGTGTGTGTGTGACGAGGTGCCGGGGTGTGACTGTGTGTATCCACTCGTCTGCACCGCTGTGTGTGTCCGTGCGGCCAGCCTCGCTGCGGAGGAGCTGGCTGTGGCGTCTCTGGAGGTAGAGGGGGCGGGACCAGGGTCCGCTGAGGGAACCCCAGGAGTTTCGCTACTGTGATCGAAAACTTGAACCGGGACACGCAGCGCCCCACTCCATTTGGCGGCTGGGCGAATCACGTGTTTGCGAGCAGGTGTGAACGGCTACAGGAAAACACAGGAAGCAAAAGAGAGGAGTGGATAGATAAATGGAAACAAAGATGATACTTCTGCAGCTGCTGTTATCGATAGGAGTAAAATGTAGCCCATGACTGTTGTATATCAAAATACAAGGTTAAACTTGTCTAAAAAGTTTACAATTGTTGTACAAAGTAACAGGGTAGGGGAGCATAATTCATCAGAATTGTATCATAGTCGCAATATAGGAATAGTGCAATATTCAAATCAGAGGAATAAAGGATAAAATAACATCTGAATTAACTATTTTGGAGCTGCATAGTGATCCGGCCTACTACTCCTATTCCTGAGACTTAATATTACATTGCATTTAGCTGGTGCTAAAGGGAAACCATAAGGGTTCAAACTAAGGGCAACACAAAGGAAACTTACAATCTCAGGGACGCATGAGGGAGCAGGACTGGAGAGGCTTTCCTGCTAGTCTGTCTGCTCTTTCAGTAGCAGCAGTAATTAGTCTTCACCGGAGTGTGTCCTGATCACACCTGCTGTCACTTTCCCCAATCAGGAGCATTTGGTGACAGGCAGGTGAATGTTCATTAGCCCTCTAGAGGGCAGTGTTTGGGCAGCACAGGGAATTCACAACAGCAGGGATCCTCTTTGATATATATAACAAATAGAACAGGGTTTATCACTCACCTCTAATATGCTGACGTCGTCATCATCTGGAACTAAAACAGGGCTGCTCGGTACCAGAGTCACAGGCTCCTCATCTGAGTCATCGGAGATGGTGATGAGCTCCCTCTTACGGGAGCGGGAGCCTACAACGAAGGAGTAAATATTAGGGTTTGTTTATTGTGTGGCTATTTATGATTATAAGTGTGTGAACAAGAGGAAGAAATAGATTATATATTATTAGAAATGTTTATATAAATATATATATACATATACACACATACATATATATATATATATATATATATATATATATATATATACACTCGGTACAGCCCTTTTAACTTAGCATGTAATAATGGCTGTTATGAAGCCCGCCGAAGAGCGAAGTTTCTTATCACTAGAAAAACCACAACCTTGAAACCATGTCTAGATAATATAGTTTACTATGTTATCAAACCAGGGTCAGTATGACAAAGCAAGTCAGCCTTGTTCTGAAACGACATTGTCACATGTAAATAGCAGCATAGTGTAGGAGGCCAGTTGTTGTCACAAACTGTCACTAGAATATATCTCACTGTTGATATTGACAAAATATCTCACCTTGGCTGCGGTGGACGTTGAAGCTCGCCAGGTGAATGACTTCATCATCGCTGCCTCCATCTGCCATTGTGAAACTAAACTTTCCTGCTCCTGCAATCTGTCACTGCTCAATCAATACCATCTACACACACACACACACACACACACGCACACACACAATGTTAAACTACTGGCATTCCCCTTGAATTCCTACAAATTATTTCAATGATACTTGTCATAACATTTACCGAACACAATAAGGGTTGGACTCCAACCTATTACTGTAAAAACAGAAGTGGAAGAAGAACTCAGATCTTTTGCTTAAAGGTGGGGTAGGTAAGTTTGAGAAACCGGCTTGAGATACACTTTTTGTTATATTCCATGGAATGCTCTTAACATCCCGATAGCAATGAATATCTTAAGTGCTTTGACAAAAAATCCATAAAAAAAATGTCATCTGTGGAAGCCGTAGTACTGTAAAAAGCACGACCAATCATTTTAGCCGGCCCGGCTAAAATAACTGGATGGCCTACCTGCCTGTCAGCCTTCCATCTGTGCACAAACTTATCTCGTGCCCTCATTGGTCATGTGCGCGTTTGTGTGTGTTGGACGAGGGGCTCTGTAAGGAAGTGGCAGATTTTTTCCTGCTGTGTATTTTCAAATTCTAGCGATCTCGAGCTGGTTTCTCCAACATTACCTACCCTACCTTTAAGTCAAAGTAGCAATACTACATGGTAAAAATATTATGTTACTACTAAAAGTCCAGAATACAAAATTGTACACAAGTAAAAGTACAAAAGTATTGGCATCAAAATATTCTTCAAGTAATAATTTTCCAGTGGCCCCTATCAGATAAATATTACATTTCTGTATTATACTTATTATTGATGAATTAATATTAAAGGTGTGGTAGGTAAGTTTGAGAAACCGGCTCGAGATACACTTTTTGTTATATTCCATGGAATGCTCTTAACATCCCGATAGCAATGAATATCTTAAGTGCTTTGACAAAAAATCCATAAAAAAAATGTCATCTGTGGAAGCCGTAGTACTGTAAAAAGTACGACCAATCATTTTAGCCGGCCTGGCTAAAATAACTGGATGGCCTACCTGCCTGTCAGCCTTCCATCTGTGCACAAACTTATCTCGTGCCCTCATTGGTCATGTGCGCGTTCGTGTGTGTTGGAGGAGGGGCTCTGTAAGGAAGTGGCAGATTTTCTCCGGTTGTGTATTTTCAAATTCTAGCGATCTCGAGCCGGTTTCTCAAACTTACCTACCCCACCTTTAACGTTGCACTTGGTGTTTTATATTATTTATTATAAATCCATGCCTGCAAATTAGCGGGTCACTAAATTGGTAAAATAAATATAGTGAAGTAAAATGTTAAAAATTGCCTCCAAAATGTAGTAAAATAAAAGTACAAGTAGCATAACGTAAAAAATACTCAAGTGAAGCATCTCAAACTTGTACTCAAAAAGTACAGTCATTGAGTAAATATACATTATTACTACCCACCACTGTGTAAACACTAACCGGCCACTTTATTAGGTACATCTTGCTAGTACCGGTGTTTGACCCACTTTTATATTCAGAACTGCCTTAATTCTTTGTGGCTTAGACTCAACAAGGAGCTGGAAACATTTCTCAGGGATTTTGGTCCATATTGAGCACCCAAAAGTTCTCTATAGGATTTAGATCAGGTGAATGTTGAGGTCATTTGAGGACAGTGCACTCATTGTCATGTTCAAGAAAGCAGTTTGACATGATTTGAGATTTGTGACATGGCGCGTTGTCCTGCTGGAAGTAGCCCTTAAAGATGAGTACACTGTGGTCATAAAGGGAGGGATATGGTCGGCAACAATACTCAGGTAGGCTGAGGCGTTAGACGATGCTCAATAGGTAACAAAGGGCCTAAAGTATGCCAAGAACATATCCCCCACACCTTTAACCACCACCTCCAGCCTGAACTGTTGATACAAGGCAGGGTGGATCCATGCTTTCATGTTGTTTACGCCAACTTCTGACTCTACCGTCCGAACGTCGCAGCCAAAATATAGACTCATCAGACCAGGCAACATTCTTCAAATCTTCCATTGTGCAATTTTGGTGAGCCCGTGCAAATTGTAGTCTCAGTTTCCTGTTCTTAGCTGACAAGGTTCGACATGATGTGGTTCAGAGATGGTCTTCTGCATACCTTGGTTGTAACGAGTGGTTATTTGAGTTACTGTTGCCTTTCTATCATCTTGAACCAGTCCATTCTCCTCGGACCTCTGGCATCAACAAGGCATTTTGCCGTAGAGAACTGCTTCTCACTGGATATTTTCTCTTTTTCTGACCATTCTCTGTAAACCCTAGAGATGGTTCTGCTTGAAAACCCCAGTAGATCAGCAGTTTCTGAAATACTCAGACTATCCGTCTGGCACCAACAACCATGCCACGTTCAAAGTCACTTAAAATAACCTTTCATCCCCATTCTGATGCTCTGTTTGAACTACATGCCTAAATGCATTGAGTTGCTGCCATGTGATTGGCGGATAAGATATTTGCTTTAGCGAGCCGTTGCACAGGTGTACCTGATAAAGGGGCCAGTGAGTGTGTAACCTTACCAAATAAGACTAATAAAGAACTCATATGCCACGCTGCAGTTGTCATGCAATCATAAGAGAACTTAACAAAGAGGTACTTTAAAATAAAACTGAAATCTTAACACAGGGAGCAGGGTTAAGGGATGGGGATTAGTCTCTCAATCAAGAATCAACATGAGGTAGCTAACAGAAAGTTGTTTTATTGTATTTGCTGACCTGATCTTACAAGAAACAGTCACTCCGTCATTTTGTCTCACTAACCCAGCCCTAGTTGTGCTTGATCTGATCAAAGTTGGCATGAAATCAATGCAAATCTTTCATTTTGATAAACTGCAGACGCTGGCAGTGATGCAACACTGCATATATGGACTTGTATTCAGTTTATCAAAGTGACAGTAGTCTTAACACAGTGAGGTTTTCTTAATATTTCAGATCTTGAAGTTAAAAACAAACATGTCAGAACAGAAATCGATCATTTCCGCGCAGAACAAACTGCTTTTAAGCTAAGCTAATGTTAGTTAGCTTGCTAGCTAGCTAGTAGGTTAAGTACTTAGCTCACTAACGTCGGGATTTCTACGGATTACATTGCTTCAAAACGACCGTTAACAGTTTAATACCTAGGTTTAAACAATACACATCCAGAAATGTACCATACCGCAGCTCGTTGGTGGAGAACCAACACAAAACGCCCTCTTGATGGACTGGCTTTCGGTGAATATAGAAACAAACTGCCAAAACAAGAACAGTACCGACGTCACGCGTACGGCACCCGTCACTACGTACGACTGTTGAACTCTGGGAAATGTAGTTTTTACGTTACTCAATTGCCGTGGTCACAATGTAACTTGATAATATGATTTTATACATGTATAATATATACAATATATATAATGTATAGAATAGCTTACATTTAAAATAATATATTATGTTTATTTGTATATATTGTGTATTCAATAGAAGAGGTGTGCAATAAAAAGATAAAATTAAATATTTATTATTTATTTAAACATAAAAATAAATAAGGTGCAATATAGGTAAATCCAAATATATATATATATATATATATATATATATACACAAACATAAGAAGTTAACATAATAGGTTTAAGTATGTGAAATACAAATATAAAAGTACATTTAATTGTCGAATAACCTAAATAAAATAAAGATATCAAAATTAAAAAGGACATAACATCACCAAGGTTATAGACATTAGCTACATTACATTTCTAATTAGAAATACTTAAATGTTTATTGAATACATGTATGTACAGATAATGTTAATTGATATGGATAGTCAAAAAAAATGCACACAAGACAAGGAATTTATTTTCAATTTAATTTCTTTTAATATAATCTTATTTACATTGTATTTTTTCATAAATGTTTAGTACATAGTAAGTTACAATACTCTTGCATCCATTACACAGTGAACTCTAGAAAATGCAGATTGAAATGATACTGCTTAACAGTCTTCAATAATCAATCTACAACAAATCCCAACTGTTTCCACATGTAGGTCTTTTGATTTCATTCACTTTGTTGGAGGACTAATGACTGCAAAGAGGATTTTTTTTGTTCATTCACGGTGGTCTTGAGAGCGAGGACTACTTTTTTCTAACATCCAGGCAATGGAGACAACATCAGGGCCACAGAGAAAGAAAAAACAAGATGGTGAAATGGATGATGAAACATGTATGAAAGGCTTTTGAGATTTTATTATACACGTCACATACAACCAAAGAGTTCCTGAAGCTGACCCTTTCTTCCTTTCCGTCCTCGTGGCTCATTTAGTTAAATATCCAGGTCCCCAGCGTCAGTAGAGTTTTTTAAATCAGGGTAGGGAGGATTGATCCCTTTCAAAATAAATGTAACATGGTATTTAAAACACCAAAAACACTGTTCATTCATACACTGACAAGAGTATTCCCCCCGCAATTATTTGAATGTTAAAAAAAATAAAAACAAGTAACGAAATTCAATAAAACCCACTTTGTGGATTACTTGAATTGTAAGTGAATTGACCCTTCGACTCTGGTAGAGGGGGGGTGATGAAGAGATTAGTGTGGGCTCTGTGTAGAGCATATAGCAGCTTGGTCAGTAATCACTTAGTAATAAATAATAAAAATATCAGAGTGGATCAGAGTGGTCGCAGATACAAACGGAAGGAGACAAAAAGTTAGCAAAAAACAGAGGAGCAGGCTCATTTGATCATTTTTACAGCGGAACAGGGTGCCATGCCTGAAACACCCACTCTCTCTCACACACACACACAAATACAGTCTCATTCACACACACACGTACATGCACTCTCTGATACACGACAGTGGTTAAACATAAAGCATGAACACTAGTCAATCGATCAGCTTGTCAGACAGAAAGACAATCAGTCTCCGCTTTGTTCCTCTTCTTCACACGTCTGATTTTCTAAAAGTTTGCAGGCTCGCATGTGATTGGCCGATTCTGTCCGCGGCGGCGGCGGTAGACATTCTGAAGAATGACATCATAGCTTGTTAAAACTGAAGGATAAAAATGCTTCTTCAAAACATTTGAAAAACTTTAAAATACTTTTTTTGTCTGTTTTTGTCTTTTTTGTATCTTCTTCCTCTCCCGCTGTGCTTCCTCCTTTAACCCCCCCCCCCCCCCCCAACAGTTTGGTGGTTAGGAGGTGGCGAGAGACCCAAAGTCTGTTTCTTGTGATGCTTGGCTGCTCCGTATACTCCGCGTATACTTTGATATTTTGTTGATGTGTGTGTGTATATGATGTAAAAAGTCAAATAGTTTTGTGTGCAAGTGCAAGCGCAAGTGTGTCGGGTTGATTTTGGACTCGTCACTCCACAGCGAAGCCGCAGGTCTCCTCCACAGCCGTCAGCAGTTTCTCATAGAGCTTCTCGTAGGACTCGTAGGGAGGGACGTCTATCCGGTTAAAACTGGAGACAGGAAAGAACAATTAGTGACTCTTCGGCACATACATAGTCATTGAAGTCGTATTTTCATTTAAAAAAACTGTCCGAACTGATTAAATCTACTATATCATAGTCATATTTGTTTATATTATTCTGGTCTATAGAGTGGTGCAGGGTGAGTCCTAAAACCAGTAATGAGTAAGCATTTTAGAAAGTTAGCTTCCCTTGTTTAGAAGTCAATGGTTTTTTGAACGTGTTTTTGCTTAGAGGCGTGAAATAAGATCTGTCGTTAACACAAACTTAATGGATTTTTCCCATTTTGTTCTACGACGTAAAATGTGTCAGTAAATATTCCACTGGCCAATTAAAAAAGTTGTTATGTTTAATTAAAACAGCGGTTGCTAATAGGTGACTAAAAGAGACTACTAAAAAGGTCATCACGCTGAACATTAGCCACCTTGTTGGTGACGTGAAGTCATGTGACCGTGATGTAGTTCCTTTAGAGCCTAACGTCAGCTTTTTACACTGGAGATTGCATTTAAAAAAAAATCATAAAGTGGTGATAATATGTGGAGATTATCCTGCTGAAGGAAACGTGCAAGTATCATAAATGTTGAAATATTCCAGAAACCATGGTCCTTACCAGGTGTGAGCCTTGGGCAAGTTGTCTGTGTTGGCGTCTATCAAGTGGATGGTGAAGAGCCTTGGTCCTGCAGAACCTGTAGAACCTTACACATATACATTCTAGTTATCACTGCTCTACTCCGAAGCACTGACCACTCAACAGTCTATACACAGGATCCCATCAAATCACAAAGATATAATCAATTCATTAGTTGTTAGATTTATTGTTGACTAATGTCGGACAGAAAATGAATCTGGATTAGGTTTAATTCAATCTACAGCTTAGTTGATCAAATTACGAGTGTCTAAACATGTGAATTAATTGGTTACTATTTGAATAATGCTTTAGTGAGTGTTTTTATACGAAAATAAATCTGAAACATGATTTTCTATGTCTGCATGCTAGTAAACGAACTTGCCTCTTTATAGTTTTCTATCTAATGGCTTTAAAGAGAGCAGAGCATAAGAAAAAGGACAGTTCTAACAGACCAAATTAAAGTCAGCAATAAAGTTATAAAATGTCCAAAAAGAGTTTTAAATGCTTTTATTTACGACACGCACCGCTCTCCTTAACGCCATCCGATAGAAAACATTTTCCAGGAGCATAGACAGCCTTGGGAGGGGAGTGACGTATACAATTTGTTTTGTTTTTTGAACTGGTTTATCTAGATAATAATTGTCAAATGAATTGACTTTAAGAAGTCTGTAAGTACGTGTGCACATCTCTACGTACTACACTGCAAAAACGTAAAATCTTGCCAAGTATATTTGTCTAATTTCTAGTCAGAATATGTCGTTACACTTGATATAAGACTTAATAACTGAAGTCTTGTTTTTAGACAAGGCATCTTAAGCATCTTTTTAAGTCAAAGTCTCTTAAAAACATCTTATTTTAGAGGAACATCTCCAACTAACATCAGAAAACAGAAAGCGTCTAAGCATTTCTGTCTTTCTTTGTTACAAATGTCCTAATTCTGGTCAAATATAGTTCAAAATAAGTTTTCCCAGCTAAATACAAGATCTCATTTATCTCAGTATCCCATCTTTACTTCAAGAAATCTCACCAAGCCATTTTGTACTTGTTCTATTGGCAGATTTGTTCACTTATTAAAAGAGAAAACACCTTGTTTTTATTATATATTTACTTGTTTTTGGAGCAGCATTTTTTCCCAGTGTATATGTTATTGTTAAGATGTGTTTAGTGGAGTAAAATATCCTTCAAAGTGTACCATAATAAGTCTCAAACATAGTAAAAAGAGATTTCCTTTTATCAAGAACTCTATTTGAATCAGTTATCGTACTGATAGTAAATGTTGGTTGTTTAATCGTTCATTAGGAGAACAGATACATTGAATTAGCAGACCAACTGTTAGCATCAAGTGAAGATAATATATGATGTGGGTAAAATAGGAATGTGTGTTATGTGATCCAGTGAGTGACCCACCCTGCAACGCTTTGAACCCCTGTAACGGGACTCGGGTGGATCCTGTGACGAACTGCAGGAGGCGTCCTCTCCTCTCCTCGCTGAAGGCCTCCACCGCCTCCCAGAACCACCGCACCACGTTGCTCTCACTGGTGCAGTGCTTCAGACGCGTGTTGGTCTTCCAGTCCGCCAGGTCGATCTTCCCCAGCCCACCGATGATCAACTGGAGAGGAGGGGGAGGTTAATAAGGAGGATAGCAGGGTATATGCAGGAATCCTGAAGTCAAATGTAATTCCTTTTAAGACCTTTTTTAAGACCCTTTCCATACATTTTAAGACCTCATCGCCACTTTGAGTTTTAACCGGTTACCTTGGCGACACACTTTACCTCACATTGACTATATACAGTATTGATTGTCCTTCCTCCTTATCTTCCAACCATTTGGACGCAAACTTGCATTTCCCCATAACGATGTTGTTTAACAACCGGCGTAGACGGACCTTGGCGCGCTATCAAGCAGTGAGCGTGCGATGTCCTGTTCAGATGACGTCAAACCCAACGGGATGCCATAAATAAACTACACAGAATCACACTACACACCTATGCAATGATTACATTCAGGCAGACTGTAGAATACAACCTCTTTGGACAATTTATATACTTATTGAAAACAAGCTACAAAATGTAATACCTTGGAAAATGCCGTTTAATACTTTTTAATAGCCTTCATTTTCGCTAAATTGATTCATCAACTTTTAATACTTTTTAAGACCCCGCGGACACCCTGGATAGGTGGCATAGAAAAGATGGTTTGAGAGTTTACAATGAAACACGTAAAATGAGCTGGATTGCAGATGTACCTCGAGTTCTTTGTGGTCGAAAGGTTTGAGGAGGTGCTGGGGGATGAGCTCACTGAATCCCTTCTGGAGAGCCAGAAACTGGGCTTCAATTCCTCGCATAAACCGCCAGTTCACATAAAGTCTGAAATACAAACACAACATGGTGCAGGACAAATAAGAAAACTGAAATCAACAGCTCTTCCTGACTACGAAACAGTATATCTTCTGTATCAACGGCAATCAGAATACTTCATTTGTCCCAGGGGAAATTGGGTTTCTAGACAGTTGCTTCATTTGAGAAAAAAATTAATTAATGAATAAATAAATGGAAAAACAAAACAAAAATATAACTACAAAATAAATAAAAGCAAAATGATGAATACAAATATGTATTAAACCTGACGATATACAACATGAATAATACAATAAAAACAGTGGTGTATTAGTTTGAATAAGATATTAATACTGAATTGCCCAGAAGGTTTGAGTATAAGACAGTGTCTGTTCTCACCTGACGTATTCCTTTTTGTTGTCCTCGGTGACGGGGATATTGCGGCCGTTGGGTTTGAGTTCGTGTTGTGAGAACTTCCCGAAGGCGTTGTGCTCCACGCAGAAGGTGTGGTCGAGGACCGTAGTGATGTCGTTCTCTCTGCACAAAGAGAATTACAAGTTAACAATCTATTTATATCCAAAAGGGGACAGTGCAGGCCATGTGATAAATCTCCCTCTGCGGTCAGAGGCGTTTGCTCACAGTATCCAGACGAGACTCTTGTGCAGCTCGGGGTCGGTGGTCTCAAGGTCGATGAGCGTGATGGGTTTTCCTAGCAGCTGTTTGTAGAAGGGCAGCGTGAAGCTCCCGTTGATGTAGTGACCGTGAAAAACTGCCAGGCCCATCACCCGGCCAACAAAGTGGAAATAAGACAGGTGGTCCTGAACGAAAAGTAAGAAAGACAGAGACACAGACAGACACACACGGGTCAGAGAGTCTTCCTATTCAGCTCGACTGTAAAGTAAGTGTGTGAGTGTGAGTGTGAGTGTGAGTGTGAGTGTGAGTGTGAGTGTGTGTACTCACGGGGTTGATGGAGGAGTCGGGGTTGATCTGTAGTGTGTAGATATTGTCTGTGGAGTACTGGAACAGGCCGTAATAGGGGTTCAACATTTCATGACACAGCAGGTACAGCCACTCCCTACAGACAACCAGCACATTGTTAACCATTGTTCAAAGCACAGTCATTAATCATAAAACAATGAGAAAACTGAAGGAAAAAAAAAAATGTATATGACGTAGTCCTTGAGTCCAGTGAAGTGTCTTTTCTTAGACTTTTTTAAGGTGGGGTTGTGTGAGGTATGTTTTGGCACAGAAGCAAAGCAACATAATAGCCACCGTAAAAAGTTACTTTCAGTTGAAATGTATCCTATATTAGGAATATTTATAACAGCCCTTGTTTTGGGAACTGAAGCCTCAAGACGCCTTAAAACATTTGATTGAGTTTAAATGAACACTGTGTTTAAAATATCTTTAGTGCTTTATCCTGCCCTCAGACTGCCCTTTAAAACCACAAAAGTCCATTCATAAAAACAGTAATTTAGGTTTAGAGTTATTGATATACTGCTGCCTCCATAGGTCAGTTTGTTTGTGTTATTGTGTGACATTGGTGTTTTGTTCGGATTGACCAAAGTCACACAATAACACAAACAAACCAACCGATTGAGGCGTCGGTACACCAACATCTCCGTTCTGCATGCGTAAATTACTGTTTTTGTGAAAGGACTTTGGTGCTTTTGAAGGGAGCATAGAAAGGGCAGTCTGAGGGCAGGATAAAGAGCTAAAAATGTTTTAAATACAGTGTTCATTTAAACTGATATCGATTCTTTTAAGACGTCTCCAGATATGTTTGGATGCTGACCCTATCCACAGCAGTTTATTGGTTAGCTTCTGTGCTGACCATCATCTACTGTAGGACGTAATGCATTGACTTTAAACAAATAACTCATAGGACCCCACATTGGAAAAATACAAACTATGCCTTCAACTTAGAGTGACCATGAACTAACCACAGTCTGCTTTAGGTTGAGTTTACTAACTGGATGTTAACCCTTAGATGCACGAGTGACTGGACCCTACACTCCGATTGTGACGATTCTCTCCGACCAATCAGCAGTCGAGAGTGTTGACGTCACACACTCAGCCTGGTTGTGCCTGGCCCTAGAACCACGATTTTATGAGGCCAGAAAAACTGTGAATTAGGACCCGCTAGCCGGTACTAGGCCAAGTGGAAACGCAACCAAAAACGGGCCGCTGACGTCACAGCCCTCTTAAACCGTGCTCCGCACTGTAGTGGAAACGCGCCATTAGTGGGTCAAAAAGGACCCGTATTAGAATAGGTGGTTTTATGCCATTTTTGGTTAAGAAAAATCACTTGTATAATATTTAGTATTATATTTTGGTTCACACTAGAAATATTTTATATTTAATTTTTCACTATTTATAAATTTTAGACATTTTCTTTACATTTTGAAAAAAAACGAAATTCCATAGAAAATGCATGCGGGTCATTTTTGACCCACTTATGGAAGCTTGGGGTAGTAATACAAAAACTACAATTTCTTAAAATGTAAATTTAAAATTTGAATGGCATGATATCCAAAACATGTTTGAGGAATAGCTGGAATATGAAATGATAACGAAAATGTAATTACAAAGATACTTCAAGAAAACCACCTCACCGGGTCAAAAAAGACCCACTTATGCATCTAAGGGTTAAGGAAATAAAATGATGAAATAGAAACAACAGCAGGCATGGCATAGTGGTAAGAATAGGCTGTACAAATGTGTTTAAAAAACACTCTCCGAATAAGCAATAGGGCACATTGTTTAAGAAGCTGTAAATGAAGTGGGAAATACACATATAGTGACATGTATTTAGATGCTGACAGCACGGAGGTATTCAATTATTATTTTTCTTGTTTTTGACAGCGTCATAACTCGGAGCTATAAAAACAAAGAGCTGTGAATGTGTAACACTTGATCTCAAGTCAGCAGGGAGATTACAAATGGAATGTGACTGAGGAAAGCAAATGAAAAGGCTTGATGACAGAAATAGAAAGCCTACATCAAACACAAAAGTGATCATAGATGTGAACAGCGAGCTACCTGGCCACTCCACCGTAGTCCAGCCCCTCCTCTCCTCTGAACTTCACCATCAGACGCTTCTTCAGGTCTTTGGGCCTCATCTTCATTATTTGCCGATATGACTCCTACACACAGACGCACGACATTAATACATCATCGCAGAGAAAAGAAAACAAAGTGACCCACAACACATGCATTCAGATCAGTGATGTTCTGTTCAACTGTTTATCTATATCGAAATCTGTCACATTGACCCCTACGTTTTATACACTGTTGAAAAGAGATGATTCGCTTTTTTATTATATCCTTATTGGTTTTGCTCTCGAAATATAAAAAGGACTATATGTCACATACTCTGTGACAGAGCCACACATATGAGGAAAAGGACTTCAAAGTTTTCAGTGGATTTAAAAAAAAATATTAGCCAAAGAGTTGTAAGAGGGAGCTCTAGGCTCAATATTATGTGGGCACTTTTTCACCAATGATTTTCAATGACTTTTCCATGACCTTAACCTAATTTTCCATGACCAAAAAAATAACTCTTTCTCAGCGTACCACTGAAGGAACAGGAAAATAAGGTCTGCATATGAAACATGTCGTGCCTATCTAAAACAAATCAAATAGGCTTACTAGCTTCTACAGGCTAAAGCAACTCAAATCTCTCACCAGCAAAACACCTCGTCAGTTAAATGCCATTTTACGTTTCATTACTATACGATACAGTATTTATTATCATTATAGTATTACTATTTCGCCGATTAGATAAAATATAAATTATATTTGATGCAACTTTAGTTACATTTCCATGACTTTTCCAAAACTTTGGGAAAAATATTGTTTTCCATAACTTTTCCAGGACCTGGAATTAGCTTTTTGAATTTCCATGACTTTTCCAGGTTTGTAATGACCGTAAGAACCCTGGTGTATGTACAATGTATTTATCTTCCCGAAAATAGGGATAAGAGTTTCATATCCTGAAATACTTTGTTTAGAATCAACCAAAACACCAAAGTGACCAAAGCATGAGTTTTTTTTTACATTTAATACTTATTTCTCTCAAAATGAGCCGTTTCTACAGCAGAGTGGTTTTGATGGAGCGAGTCACATATGCACAATCGGTGGTGTTTTCGTGCTCTTTAGATGAATAAGGTTGTCTGACAGCTGTGTATGAATTCCACAGGAGCCCCCCCCCCCCTCTCCACAGCTCCACACCCACCTCAAAGATCTCCTCTCTGGACACCTCGATGCGACAGTGTCCGGCCTGAGGCTGCTGTAAGGACAGCTCGTGCCGGAGCAGCTTTAATTTATGCACCAGGTCTCTCTCGTATCGCGCCGCCACGTCTCCATCTCCTCCTCCAACTCCCCCGACCACTCCGACGCCTCCCCCCTCCTCACCCCCCACCTCCATCTGGGGGGCTTGCGAGGATTCCTTCGCTTGGCTTTGCTGGCTGGAGGTGGGAAGAAGGACATGGGAAAAGTGAAAACATGTCAGAAAGTCACATTTGAAGGAACTGGATTACACAGTGCATGCAGCCAGAGCAGCCAGAGCAGCTACATCTATAAGCCTGCATTTCTGTTGACACACGATTATTAACAGGTCGTGTTCAGAACCAGTCTGAGTCCAGCCTAACCCATTAACCACAGATTAGTCTTATTTGGTCCGAGTTATGAATGTCTGCCACCAAGGTGTACATTGATGTTGCCATGAGGGATACAAGAGAGCATAGAGTGGTGCAGGAATGAGTCCTTAACCCGGAAATTAGTTAGCATTTCAACACTTCTGGTTAGCTCGTCTTTGAATCATTGTTTTTTTTATTGTGTCGTTATTTAGATGCTGAAATAAGGTTTGTTGGTAACACAAACTTATAGGATTTTCGAGTTTTGTCCTACTACTTAAAATACGTCAGTTAAAATCCCACTGGTGGATGTCTGAAGATTTTACATTTCACAAAAACAGCGGTTGCTAACATTAGCCACATTTAGCTTAGCGGTGATGATATGAAGTCATGTGACCGCGCTGTAGTTCCTTAGTAGCCTAATGATTGCATTTATGCTTGAACTATTATTAAAGTGGTGTTAATACGTGGAGATTATCCTGCTGAGAAAAATGTGTAAATATCATAAACTTGTGTTTGCAAAGGATCTTATTTTCTGCAATATTCAAAAATCAAATGGAGAAATCTAATACTTTTTTTAGTCAATGGAGCCTTCGCCATGCTAACTTCCGGGTTGGCCTACAAAAACACGCCATCCTTGCACCACTCTGTTTCCGATGCGTATGTATACCTGATAATGGTGTGTAGGCGCGGGTCTGTGAACTGTGTGGTTCGGTTGTTGTGGTCCACAAAGTAGATCCGCCCCGACACGGTGCTGCGGACCTCCCAGCCCACCGGCAGCGGGCCCAGCTCCTCACAGCTCACACTGGCCAGATCCCTGCAGCAGGAAACAAGCAGCCAAACTTCAAAAAGCAGCCGAAATCCTCAGCAGCAGCAGCAGCCAGATCTCTTTAACTTTCTGACCCTGCATACTGCTCTTAACCCCCAACTAAACCCCAGCGCTTAAGAAAAACAACCTGGTGATTTTCCCTTAATCTGTTGGTGTTATTACTGCAGAGCAAGGTTGCTGCACACTTTTTGAAATACAATGTAATGCTTTTTATTTCTATTAAATTCTTCTCTATGTCCTCCTCCTCTGCTGTTAGTTAGAAAGTCAGCAGGGTTTATTGAAGCCTCGCCTCCTTTCAGGTTTAGCTTGGACTCGAGTGAAGTGATTTGTAAACGTACCGCGGTATTCGAGGGTCGTGCCAGGTGCTGACGCCCGTCTGTGTGTGAAGGAAGTAGACCTGGCCCTGCACCGTCGTTCTTTGTTCTGTTTGAAAAAGAAGAAAAAAAGGTCTTAAATGACTTAATATGAAATAAATACAACATGAGATGTTTTAAAGAGAAATACACATTCAAACATATTTATTTTACTTAAACCGATATATTGCTGCACTTTATCTGCATATAGAAGTATGAATGCTTGTTTGTATGTTGTCTTCTCCTGAATGTTGTACGTCTCGTGTTGTTTTTTTATATCTTTGATGGCAAAAAGGAGCAGCTCTACTCATCTCATTGCACCCGTATAATGACAATAAAAGGATTATTCTCTATTCTATTCTAAATGTTTGACTGACCGTATCCCTCCGGCAGGTCGGGCGGCTGGTGTCCGTGCGGTCTGTTTTGGGGTGTGTGTCCGTGGCCTCTCGAGTCCTGCCCTCTGATTCGCTGCGTCTGAAGACGACCCTCCTGACCGGGCGAGTCGAGCCGACAGTTCCCGCCTCCCGCTGCCCCGGTGGGGTCCGAGTAGGGCAGCGGCTCTTCACTGAAGCATCCCTCAAACACAGGCCTGCACACACACACATGTCACTGTTTTCCTGAAGCACATGATAAGTCAACTGCTTTTGTTTTGATCTTTGGGTACCAGAGTTTGGAAGAGGATCAAACAAATGATAACTATGACTTAAGTGATGCTGCACCACAACATCTCCCAAAATAAGTCTCAGTTCAACTTCTCAAGGGATGCCAACATGACAAAGGACACTCAAGTTATTAGCATATGAGTGTTTTATGAGCATGAGAATTACCTTGGTTGTATGTAAGCAGTATGCAGTCATAAACTCTCAACCTACTTGCACAACTTTTAGGAGATTTTTGGGCTAAATGTGGGAATATTTGTAGAAAGAACATCGTTTAACCCTTCACGAAAAAGGTATTTAATATGTTTCTATACTTTAAGATCAATATACGACATGGTTTCCTTTTTAATTGATTGAAAAGTAAATATCACAGCTGTTTCATTAAGGATGAATGTAGACCTAGCTGGTTTGGACGAGGTGTTTTGTAACCTGAAGAATTTCAACACCTGAGGCCTGTACTATGAAGCTGGATTTTCGCTTAGCCGGCTAAATTCAGGGAAATCTCGGGCTTTCCGGTCCTACGACGCTGGTTCTCTTTTTAGCAGGCTAGATTTCCATGGTAACTTATGCTGAGCGGCAAACCTGCTCCGGAGCAGGTTAGGTGGCAGGCTAAGAGATCAACTCAGTGAAAGCACTGCCTGCTGACCAATCAGAGCTCCGTGTGCGGAGCTTAAAGCGATCAAGTCATATTACAGGATAGAGGAAATACAGAAAAACTGCCGTTGCAGGAAAGACGGCCGGCCAAAATCAACTGACTGTGTGAACGTGAAAATTAATAGAATATCCCCTCCCATCTTCAGAGCAATCTGACTATTATAATATTAGCGTTAAGAAAGCTTACTTAAATATCTGCCACGACATAAGTAACCGGATCAGAGTAACATTAAGTACAGTCCGCGGCACTGTGAGTGCAGACGTCGATGTGTCCCATTATCATTCATATCATATCACATCATAATGTATCATATATTTCCTTATTTGAGTCAGCTTCTTGAGCCGTATCTGGCCGTGCAACACTCACAGTGTCACATACTGTATGCAGAAGTATTATTTTAAGCAACACATTAAGTTGACCCTAATTAAAGTCAGATCCACTCGTGTCTTGGACGGGGCAGTGATTTCATAAACCTGTTAATGTACGCATTCAAACACTTTTTCTTTTACCAGCTGTATTCACCTTGCAGGTGCAGCTATGTGGCTTTTATCCTGGATAAAGTGTTTAAGTCATGGATGTTTAAAGTTTAACTTCTTCATATTTGACTAATATTAAAGTTCACTTTTCATTCAGGAAGTATGACGCTGCGCTGTCAGTACGCTTGTCCGTGTTTGAGATTGGTCGAATGCTCCAAATAACACCCCTTTCATGTGAACGCGCACCTAACTAGATAGGACACGGCTGGCTTGAGCGATCCACTTGATAACCAGCGTCGTAGTACAGTTTAGCCAGAGCGCGTATGTTTTGGATTGGGCCAACCGGCTAACTCAAACATATCCAGGTTAGGAAAATCCGGCTTCGTAGTACAGGCCTCTGGTTAAGCTTGATTGAGCATGTGTGAAAGCAGCAATCCAATCAGAAGTGGGGCGAAACAAACAGGGCAAGACCCCCCGGTGGTCACGTTCGGCTTCCACTCTAATCACATTTACCTGATGCACCATCTGAAGAGCAACTGTCTTGTGAGTGCGTGGTGGTACGCATCCATAGCTCTGCTTCTAAGGCAAACTTATGTCTCCTAATAACATTCATCAGAAGATCGTATTTAGGTCGCAGTAGAGATGCTTGCTGTAGCTATACATGTTCATTTCATGAAAGCTGGATAATTGACCAGTGAAACGGCAGTAGCTCCTGCTCTGCCAGGAAAAATAACTAAAAGAGAGGAAGTGTTTAGGGATGAATTTGTTTACAGCTTCTGGACCGCTCGTGGATGTTTCTGTGTGCACACAATGAACAAAGAGGCAAACGCAATAACTGTATCCAACAGTCCCTGAATCAGAACAAGGCAAACAAACTGCAGATCTGTAAACACCCCAAAAAAGGCATCAATCGTGACACTTACAACAACGTAAAAACAAAAAGGAAGGCTCTCTATAACTTCCAATATAGCTGAGAAAGCGTAACAGAAAAACCTATGAAACATTCAACAGTGTCACAACAAGATTTTATTTTTTCCCATGAGGTTATTGTATTGTGTCTCTGAGGTCTGGCAGTGCACTAACCCGTCATTTTCCAGCAGTCCCCTGCAGTCCACCACAGGGCCACCGCTGCCGATGCGATCTCGCGTCTGTAAGCTCACTGAACACAAGCAGGAGGTCGAAAGGTCAGAGGAGCGACAGAGGGCAGAATATTCACGCAGTCAAACAGAAGTTACTCTGGGGGCGAGGTGATGCAGGTCATTTGTAGATGATGTATCTGTGTTTCCAACCCTTACCTACGATCTGCCCCCGCACTGCGTCACTGTCCGAGGGGTTCAGCTTACAGAGGTCTAGTCGCTGGTCTAGAAAGGAAGGAAAGGGAAATGTAAACCAGAGGATTTTTGCATTAATGTGTACTTAAAAATCACACAGAAAAGAGAGACTTACATCCTGTGTCTTTTAGCCTGCTGATGGCGTTAGAAAGCAGTCGTATGCAGCCCAGGAAGCCCGCCCCCTGTCGTTTATGGATCTTTTTGTGGTTCCATATGCTGATCGTGATGGAGTCTGTTTTTCCGATGTAGCTGAAAAACAGATGTTAGATTCACAAATTACTTCATGTTTAATACAACACAGTCTGGTGTCAAGAATATAAGGTTTTTGTCTCTCGACCTTTAAATACATATAAACAAAGAAGTTGAAAATAACCGCGAGTTGCAGCCCTGAATATAAAGTCTCCCTTTTTGTAAGACATAATGTGCCTGTGTGATTGTTTGAGAATAATAGACCAAATTGAATTGATAAAAGAAGACATCTTTGAAGTATATTGTTCAATTTCAAGATAAAACCAGTAAGAAAACATGTATTTAAGTGTATAGTAGCTGTGGTTGTGTTGCGGTAGACTCACAGGTCGTAGTGCTGATTCCATTTGGGGTCCAGTGTGCTCTTGACTGTGTCTGTAGAGTGGCATTGACCCGATCCATCCACCACAACCTTGGCGAAGGGATCCGGTAGTCCTATACACACACACACACACACACACACACACACAGCTCAGATTAATAGTTTGTATCCCCCACGGTGAAACCCAATGAGCTAGCATCTAGTTATTAGCAATATCTCAATTGGCTTAAGTGATGCAGATAACATATCTCTACAACAAAGCAGAGCTCTCTATTGCTGCAGACATTTTACTTTTACTAAGACCAGCCTCCAGTTTAAAAGCTCTAAACCAATAACAGCATATTCTATCTGCTTTTTGGGCAGCGCATCATTTAATAAAAGTGGATGAAATTAAAACAAAGATATGGTCATGACAAACAGCAACTGAGGGACATCAATGGCAATAGAGTGGCGCCGGAATGAGTCGTTAAACTGGGAAATGAGTTAGCATTTTAGCAGTTCGGGTGCCCTTGTCTCAAGTCACCATTTTTTTTTTAAATATGTTTTTGGTTTGAGGGCCAATATTAGAGTTCTGTGGTTAACACAAGGGTGAAATATCAGTAGATACCCCACTGGTGAATGCTAACAAGTTGCGAAAGACTTCTAAACGCCATCAAGCCGAATGTTAGCCGCCTTTAGCATGTGATTTGTGGAGATTATCCTGCTGAACAGAACGTGTAAGTATCAGAAACTCTTGTTTGCTAGAAGTCTTAATTTCTGCAATATTCCAAAATCAGACTTTTTGTCAAGGGAACCATTGAGATGCCAACTTCCGGTTCCACCTACACAAATATGTCATCACTGCACCGCTATATGTGTGTACAGAGTTGGTTTTGATGTCACACACAGACCCTTATTGAAAACACATCATCTCATCATGTAAACCAACCGTCATCACGTCAAAATCATGCACATGTAAATGAGCACATCTTAATACTTACGAAAGAAGTCTTTCTTTGCGAGGTTCTTGGCACATAATACTGCAAAAGAATAGAAAATCATTATGAACAAAATGCCGCACACACAAATATGTAAATGATCTCAGGGTGTGTGTAGGCTGGTATAAATCTACACTGGAGCGCGGTGTGGAGGAAGAACGCTGCTCAGGATAATATATGAATGCCAGAAGATGGTAATGAGCAGGAGAACTTATGTGACTTGCAGGAGGAGAATAGGCAGTAAAGTATACGCTAGTGTCAGGATCACACACACACTCTCACACACACACACACACACACACACCGCCCACAGTGAGAGTGGCAGGGTGCCTTCGCTGCCACATCATCTTTGTGGATCCAGAGAGCAAAACTACACTTTTGAGAGTTCCTAATCGTGCAATAAGTATTTACTTTATTGTGTGTGTGGGTGTGAGTGTGCAATTTCTTGTTATTTGTTTGCCAGGCTGCCTGTATGGTGGCGTTTTTCATTCTAGGTCACTGCTGTAAAACTTAAAACAACACAGCAATAAACTAATTATTTAAAGAAAACACACCACGTCCAGTTAGTAGAGGAGTTGATTATAGGGCAGTGTGGGCATTGAACACAAACAAGCAGCCTGTTTGCATAAAAGCTGATGTAATGCAGTCAGAAAAGGTGACTGTAGAGTAACCTGTAATCGACGTGATAACTGGAATAATATTTACACTGCATATGTATACATGTCCAGCGCTAAGTACCAGCTTTTAGGTCGTTGTTGGGAACATTATGTGGTCTGACAGTTGGGACAAATTGGATATAAACATGTTGATGAAATGGCTCTAGGTGAGAGTTCTCTTTGCTCCAACACATCTGAGACGGACTGCACCAATCTGTCTCTGTTCAAATAACAGGTCAAAACTCGCCTTTTTATAACTGTTTTTAATGTGTATTAAATTGTATTTTTTTTTTTATGTGAGTCTGCAAACAATAGAATTGACAAAAACGGGTTGATTTCAACGGTTAAGCAGAACACATTTTCAGAGTAGCATCATTGTTATTAATGTTATTATGTGTTGTCTCCTATGTTAGGCGGATTCTCCAGCTAAAACATGAATCATCATTTTACTAAAATCACAATATGGAGAAGTGCAATATTCAAACTGCAGGAGACACAATGATTTTAGAATTGTCATTGTTTCAAAATGTCATTCTGAGTGAATATTGTGTTGCAGAGAAGTCACAGCCTACAAATCGTACTCTACAGATATAAGAACACGTCTTTGTTTACTAAATATCTACACAAAAAAGACAATCACTCCATGATCCAATTACTCAACTGTTCAATTCAAATTAAAAATAAATAATGACTAGGCAATATTGTGAATCATATTACAATGTACATACATACATACATACATCAAATATAAATGCAAATAGGGTTTTTGCCCCAAATTGTTCCGTGGTAGTTTCTACACCGTGGTGAACAAAGGGATGTAAGGTTCTCTGGAGAATCAGCAGCACTTGCTCTGCAGGTATGTAGGTGTTCAATTACCATATGGATTCCTCCCTGAAGGCGGGTAACTCAAACCACTGACTGACAGGTAATTAAGATAAATTGCGGTGTTTGGTGACCTTGAACAATTGGCAGAATGTGACAGAATATTTTAAAAGAGAAATACTTTGGGTCCATTTCTGTGTGTAATTATATCATGTCAATCATCTTCATGCAACCAGATGAGGGAGTGCCGTCATCCCTAAACTGGTTTTACGTTTTACAGGCTCTGTTTAACACTGTGAGCTTTAAACAAAACTAAATGCATTCAAATTACATTTAAAGGTAGGGTAGGTAAGTTTGAGAAACCGACTCGAGATCGCTAGAATTTGAAAATACACAACCGGAGAAAATCTGCCACTTCCTTACAGAGCCCCTCCTCCAACACACACGAACGCACACATGACCAATGAGGGCACGAGATAAGTTTGTGCACAGATGGAAGGCTGACAGGCAGGTAGGCCATCCAGTTATTTTAGCCGGGCCGGCTCAGATGATTGGTCGTGCTTTTTACAGTACTACGGCTTCCACAGATGACATTTATTTATGGATTTTTTGTCAAAGCACTTCAGATATTCATTGCTATCGGGATGTTAAGAGCATTCCATGGAATATAACAAAAAGTGTATCTCGAGCCGGTTTCTCAAACTTACCTACCCTACCTTTAATATTATCATTTATAAAACCAAAAACGCCAATGCTGGTTTTGACATTTACCTCAAGAGTCCGCTGCTTTTTTCCGTCTTAAATTGTTAAATAAATGAAGCACTTTACTTTATTTTGTTCTGATCTTTATTTTTGATTAAAAGTAATACAATGATTATTCAAAAGATGTGTCCATCTCCTAGATATTGACCAAAATAAGTCATTACCAAGTAGGGATGGGAATGATTAATCGAATATTCGAAATTATTCAAGTATTCGAATATGAGAATATGAATTTTTCTTTTTTTTGGAGGGGTGCCTAAGTTGATTACATATGATCAAATGGAATAATTCAATGTATACGACAGTGCCATAGCTAAATGTGTTAGGTCTAAAGGTGTGTTTTGCTCCGCTCACCGGCCCCTCACAGCGGGCAGAGCTGCAGGTGCTGACCCTCCCTATACGCAGATCACGCAGACTCAAACCTCATCTTATGCCCAAATTCCAGCTGAGAGGGTCTTCTCTACAGCTGGCCTGATTGTGAATCGCCTCCGCACCCGCCTCTCCCCTGAGTAGACATGCTCATATTCTTAAACAAGAATGAGTATTGAATAGCTGCATTCTGTGCATAGGCCCTGTTATAGGTTGATCTCTGTTGTGATAGGGTTACGTTACCCTAACCCGTTATGTTGTTCGTGTACGATCCCTCTTTCATTTAAAAAACAAGTTATGTTTTAAGCATGAAAGCTGTAGGCCTATAGCTGTCAACTGTTCAAACTGTGATCACCAGTTCAATACATTTGACAAATTCGACTTGGTTTCTATACTGATTTGAACATGTATTTATTTTTTGTCAACATTTTTATTTATTTTTATAGGATATATACATTTCGGTTAACCGTTTTTTTGGGAGTCGAATATTCGAATATACATTTTCTTTCAAATTCCCATCCCTATTACCAAGTAGTTTTGAGCATTCAAAGTCTAACGATACCTACATTTACTGTTTAATTATTTTAGATTAATTATTTAGTAGTGGTTTATGCTTTTATTTTAAAGGCAAGACACCTGGTAGGTGTGTATATATTGTATATTATATATTGACAGGTGTAGGTGGGATTAGCGCGCCAGAATAGGCATATGGTTTTTCAGCAGGGGAAAGACAAAAGGAGGCCACAGGAAAGGCAAAAAGGGCAAGATATGGGAAAACCATTGTCGTTGTAGTGTGGGATAATGGATCAGTGGAATATAACTGCAAAAAAACGACCTTCTTGTCTGGACTTTGGATCCTTTCTCCTGCGTCTGGTGCCCTACCGGCAGTTACATTTTTGAGTCAATTTCCCGTTTTATTTCTTTATAATTTTGCCGCTCCAGCAACATGAAAGGCATGAAGATTGGTTGTTGTGTTTCAGAAAAAGCGAAGGCGTCTCATGATCTATTAAACCTGCTGCTCCTGTCTGATTTGCTACACCACCTGACAGTCAGTGTTATCACATCTTTGCGGCCAAATTGAAACCTGGGCATGATGTGCTTTGGCCCAGACAGACCTCTAGGAAGTCAGTCAGCCAGCCGGCGGTTTAGGATGTGGTGACTTTGTGCGGTGGCGTAGATGTGTCTGGCTAACGGTGGTTTACTTCCTGTGATTAACCCGTGGAGAATGGCTGCAGGATATCCTTTCCTCTTCCTCATCGAAACCCTGTTCATTCCTCCTCCTCCTCCTCCTCCTCCTGACTCACACATTCCACTCTCAGACCTCATCTTCTCCCAGACACAATGAAAGAAACACAGCTGGAGCGGGACAGAATCAAGTTTCTAAAATGTGCCCCTGCTTCTTCTTTTAGACGAGCAGACGAGGAAGACTTTTTCCGGCACGGTCACATCTTTGCCATCCATCTTATGCTTCCATTTCTTTTCAGAAGAGACACCCCTAATTCAACCCTCATCCCTCTTGTTCCACCTCTTTGACCGGCTCTGAATATGTGACAGGCCCTTTTTTCTCAGCGTCTCAGGAAATTCCTCATCCTGCCAAGGTCACGGCTGGTAAAGACACACACAGCTTCGGCTCAGCTGGTTCTCAATTTACCCCGCTGCCGCTTTCTTTTTTTGGCATTTATGTCCTTTCCTTTTTTAAACTTTTTTTGTAAAAACCAAGAGGGAGCCAGCGGGGGAAGAATTATTTTCAATCTTGAGTGAACACACAACATTGCAAGAGAGTTAAAGGAAAGGGGAGCTTTTTACCACCTCAGAAGCAACAGTGTTAAGAATTTGAAGCCGTAACATTTTTTATCCCTCAAATTCTTCTCTAATTATCTCGACTCCTGCACTTATTTTCTCAGGTATGACAAGAACCATAAAACTGCAGAAGCTTAGAAGCTTGTTAAAGCGTCTTAAATCAAAATTAATGGCAGAGTTTTTCTGGAAAAGGTGCCACGGTGCCATGAACTATCTTCACATTTAAATCAATACTCGTGACGACTACGAACCGAGCCAAAGCAGTTTAAATACTGCGATTTTCCAGATGAAATCAAGCAGAAGGACCCATGTGAGATTACAACAAAGCCACTTCCTGTTAAACCTTCTCCTCTCAGCAACAACAAAGACATGTGAGCAAATATCTCACCTACTTAATAACATGCCCTGCGCCGACAGCTAAACACGCACAGTATGACAAACAGTTCTCCAAACACATACAGAAGCTATGTTACATTTTCACACAACTTGATACAAAAAACACATTTCAGAGTGCATCTCTCTGTTGTCACATTTACAGGCTCTCCATTGTCAGCTCCTGCATCGACTTTCTGTGTTTCTGCACAGGCTGCTGGCTCAGTAAGTGAGAGGATTAGAAGTGCTTATGCTGCTTCC